TTTCATCTGTGTTGATCTCTTCCATCCCAAATAGTAACCCGGTTATTTGATATAATATTGTCAAGTCAGTCTCTCCTACCAGCAGCCTCTCCTGCTTCAATTGCAAGTGTGTCGTAGATGTGTATTTCGGCCTCGCGCACTCTTCTTCACTTCTTTGTCCAGTGAAGTATTTGATAGGTTGTATCCAGCTCCTCTTTTCTTTGTTCATCCACGCACTGCACTGCTTCATCTTCTACTACACCATATTCCTCTCCCTACTCCATCAGCTTCCATGTGTCCGTCAAGATCCATTCCTTGTCTTGTCCTTGTCTTCTTTCTTCCTATCACAATTAAGCAGGTTTCCTCCCATGTATCTTCCACGCAGGTTTCTTCATGAATGTTGCTTAATGTCTCCTTTTTTTTCTGATGACTGATGACGTGAAGATATCCCTTGTAGTTTCGTCCTTCAGTTTCTGTTCTGTGTTGAAAGTGAACTGTGGCCTACCACCAACTTCTGTGAAGGCTTTCAACTTGATTTGGAAGGTTCCTTGGACTAGATAGTGACATGTCTGAGCCTAAATCTGCTCCCTTTCTTGATATTGTGTCAAGTAGGCTGCGTCTCCACTTTCTTCATATAGAGATGAAGTCGATCTGGTTTTTAGTGTGTCCATCTGGCGAAATTCATGTCGCTTTGTAAATATCCTTGTGCTTGAACACAGTGCCCCCCAATAACAAAATAGTTGAATGCTAAGTCTGCAAACAGTTCTCCATTCTTGTTCATTTCACCAAGTGCTTCTTGACCCATGATGAGTTCTCTTCGTGTGCTGTCCGCTTCCAGTTTGGCATTCATGTCATTCATCAGAGTTTTGATGTTGCCATCTGGAGTTTTGTCCAATACTGATTACAGTTGTCTATAGAATCCCTCTTTTTTTCTCTTGATCGGCATTATTTGTAGTTGCGTAGCAATGTATGATTACGACTTTCCTTCCTTTTGAGTTGAACCTTCCTGTCATGATGCTGATCCTATAGGAGAAGATTGGTTCCCATTGTCTGAGAGCATTCGACGGTCTTGGGGACATTATGATAGCCACTTCGAAGCACAGTGTACTCGTGATTGTCGTCTGGATGACAGTACTCGAGTGGATTATTGACTCCTCTGCAGTTGACAGTTTGGAGAGTCCACTTCCATTCCATCTGATTTCGCAGATTGCTACCACCTCTATGCCCTATCTTCTCATCTCTTTTGCGATCTGAGCAGCCTTTCCAGCCAACTTCAAACATCGTATGGACATTCCACGTCCCTATAATTACTTTAGCTCTCATCGAGAGTAGACACATCGGCCAATCGGCTTCCAGAAGGCTTTCACCAACCGACGTTATTTCGTCTCCCTGATTCCAGCGAGAAATGTTTATTTTCATTTTTAATATTTTGTTCGTGCTTTAAAGTTCCTTTAGCGATTGTATTGGTTTTCCGGGGTAGGGTTGCTAGCCCAATACCCAACCTTCCCTCTTTATCTGGCCTTAGGTCCGGCTAGTAACTAGTGAACTAGTAAACTAGCCGAGGTTCTGCTTCACTTTAGCACTCTCCAATGCAGATTTAGATCTTAGTTTCATGATTTTGGATACATCTTGTTAATGAGTACCATCAGTCACGAGTTTACGGGTGGAAAATGTTACCCACCATTCGTTTTAGGCCCCTTGAAAATAAAGTTATACCCACGCTTGACAACTCGAATCACTGAAATGATTGGTAAGCGCTCATGTAAAACTTTTAAGATGTGAAGGTCATACTGTTTCGTGACTTGTGAAGAGAAAAAAGTACCGATCGCGAAACCTGAAGGCCCTGGGTTCGGTTTCTGATGGGGGAGGGGATGCGTACTGCTGAAGAGTGACATATTAAGGCAAAACACCTGTCCAGTGGTCCCAGGGTTTAATTCGCTCCCTTAAACTGACATCAACACGTGGGGGTTTTCATAGGAGCTATCTTCTCTTTCCCACTTTCACGACAATTCTGATTAGTGTACAGATTTGAAATGCTTATGACATGAAGATGTTAGACGTAAATTGTAGAAGCATTCGTTATGCAACTTAGCATTGATAAACTCATTGAAAATTTTACTGTATGCAACATGAAAAGTGGTAGTGGTTGAATGGATTAACGATTTAATCTGTTAAGTTAACGATATATTCAATCTAGTTGGTAAATTTGTCATCGAGATGAGTACTGACGCCTAAAGACACATTCTCATGATACTTTCCCTATAAGTGACAATTTTAAGGCTGACTAATAAAATCAACTTAGAACCCTGAACACAACAGCATCACCCTCAATTTGTTACACTTCACACCAGTATGCAAAGAACTAGTGGATAGCGAAAGACAGATATCAAAGTGGACAAAGTTGTGACAGAATCAACAATCTATTGATAAAGGTTAGTACAAATATTCAAACTTTAGTAGTGAATAAATCTGCGCCATTGTCACCCATTTTCAACCATCTCAACCACCGACTCCTGTCGTCTCGAGAACTCTAACCAGGTTGTCTACATCCCGTCATACAGCCCAAACCAACAGTAAGGGACTTCTTCGCTAATACCACATTTTGGTCTGGCCACCCTGAATTCTCTTTCAACGTAATCCAACTGCCCCTAGCATGGCACGTTGAGGTAGGTGTCTACTTGGTATGTGCAGCTCATGTCTAAGCCATCGAAATCGATTAAGTTTCAAAACCTTACTTGTCTTACTTAGTACATGTCACCTGACCTAAACATTACCCACATAGCGATTTCAACAAACGTGAGCAATGCCAAGAAGACGTCTATGATCAAAATCACATCATCGCTTCATATCTTCTACGTCCAGGTTTCACAGCCGTATAGTAGAACATAACAGACTTCAGTGTAGTATACTTGTCTTTCAACGAGTAGTCAGTGCCAGAGATGATGCAAATTGGCAAATGCTAAATGAGCCTTTTGTATGCCAGTTGCGATTTCGTCAGTAACCAACCCGTTCCAGCTAATACTTCAAAAAACCTTTTACATCATTCGTAAGGTAATGAAAGAATCGCATTTCACAAACAACTCAGGTTAGTATCTTTATGCACCGATGTTTTTTGACTCAATAAAGCATGACCTTTACGTAGAATATCTTTCTAGAGTTCTATGTCACATATCGGGGTATGTGGTTGATAATATATCACCATGGATTATTTTTCTGAAAGGAAACAGTACACTGTCTATAAAGACAGACGCTTCATTTCAGAGTTTAGTGAGGCTGATGTGCCTCATGGTGCTGTACTTTCTCCTTTTGTGCTCTCATTCCTTTTGTATGATTTACCGTCTGTTCATTAAGTATGCTGATGATTTGATGGTATCTGTTCTAGTTAACTCTCACTTAGATTGCTCTCAATTAAATAGATTCTTGTCTGTAATTGACCAATAGGCTGTTTCAAATGGTCTCCAGATAAACCCTTCCAAATATCAGACTGTTAATTTTAGCCTTAGACGTAAACAAGGCAAACGTGTATGAGATGCTTAAGTCTGATGACGCTTGTTGCAACATTGATGATATTTGTGCAGAAAGTAAATCGAGTGTTAACTAACTTGGATCGGGTCTTACTTCTGATCTTTGTTGATCGTCTCATATCTTATTGACTTGTGAGAAAATCTTTCGTTTAACGTAATACGCTAAGAAACTGAGGCTCTCTGGTATAAATCAACTTCCACATTTAAAAGTTATCAATTCCTCCATCTTATTTATTCTTCTGTATTGTTCTCCGTTGATCTTTCTTGGTCTACGACTAAACAAGGACTATGTTATATTGCATAGGGCTTTAAGAGCCGTCAGTCAGTAAGCTGAGTGGTGTGCTTCTCGCTGAACTGATTAACAATGGAGTTGATAGACATTTAAATTCCAGCAAGCAACTAGCTACAGTAATTTTAATTGTCACCAAGTATCCACTTCATTCACAGCTCTCTCTGTTTGTATCTCCTCTAAGAGAGGAGAAGAAGTTACATAAGATTCTATACGCTGGTACAGCCAAGTGCAAGAATTCGACTGCACCTTACCTAGCACCCATATTATATAAGGGAACACGTGTTAGAACAGAACTTACATATCAAGGTATCATGTTCTTGTTTTTAATATTCTCTACATTACTTAAATCCTTTAAAGTTTTAAACGAGCATATACATATACACATATTATTATTATCATTATTGACAACCTTAGATAGGATTGGAAAAGCAATACAGGCGTTCATTAACCTGAAATTAGTATGGAGATCTACTGCACTCAGCATAAAGCATGAACAACATCCGGATTTTCAACACCAACGTCAGTCAAGTCAGTGCTTCTATATGATGGTTGAGAGACTTGGCGCGTTACGGAAAGAATTTCCAACAAACTACAGACATTCATTAACAGCTGCCGCCTACGCTCGATACTGAATAAGCAACAAGGGACTCTGGCTGGCTGTCAACGAACCAACGAAGCAAGAACCTATCGCCCAACAGATATGCACTGGAAGGAAGTGTAGATGGATTGGGCATGCACTGAGAAGACCATTTGGGGGACACCACGCACCAGGCCACGCAGTCAAGTGGAACCCAGATGGGAAACGACGAGTTTGGCGTCCGAGGTGAGTTTGACATGGAGGAGATTGTGTGGGGAAGAAATGAGAGCTTGTGGGCAGTTGTGGAGTTAGGTTCAGAAGACTGAAGAAAAGACAGTGAAATGGTGACGTACTACTGAGGTCCTATATTCCACCTTGTCGTTCAACTATTATCTCTGTGCTGAAGACTATAAATCGCAAATCAAGTGTTTACTCTATGATTTCCCTACATACAAAGACTTACCTACCGAATTTGAATAGTCTGTTACCCTGAAAAATGTTAGCGGAACACCAATTTTATGTATAGTTCATTGGCTCTTGACTGAACTCTATTAAAGCTATTGAAGTGTAGGTGATCACCGGTACTGTCAAACACGATAAGTTTAAGGGATTACTGGACTAAATTATTGTCAGTATTATTAGTACTATTATTATTATTATCACTAAAAAGTATATCACACAATGAATTATGAATACTTGAGACAGAGGACATTGATAACCAATCACCTGCCGAATTTTCGGATTTTTCACCATGGAAATCAAAACAAACGATATACAATTTATTCTAAACCAAAGTAATATAATACGTTTTCAGCTTAACTTATTATTATAGGTTACTTAACATCTTACTAAACGAAAGTATCATGAATATTGACTGTAAGGTGATGCGTAATTAAATCGTTGAGATGTGTTCGGCATAAAGTAGTTAGGTTGAACAACAAGTTGTGTTGCCGGTATTGAATATGGGTAAATTAATTGATTTGTTGATAAACACTGGGGAATTACTACAGGTACTGGGATATGCCTTACTAAAACACGTGAAGGAGATATGACTGGTAGAACTGTTGGACAGTATGTTTGTATGTTATTGGGATTTGGAAATGTGTTTGTTTGACATTGTTGAACTGACTGAGAAATATTTGGTATGTTAGAGGGAGTATCTCTCTGTATTGGATAATTAGGAATACTTTTTGATAAGTGTTTTTTATTGTACTCATAACATTCATTCTCAGTGTCTGACGTTGAATGTAGTTTATTGCATGAAGATATGGCATGTTTGAGTTCATTTTCAAGACAAGTCATTGGTAAATTATCAAATACAGACGGTTTTTCTACTGTTTTCAATAGTTTTATAGTTTTAGGAGATAAATATCGTTTAAGATCGACTGACTTTATTTTGTTCGATTGTTTTCCGATTGACAAATGATTACAACATCTCTTCCTACGTAGTCTACGTCTATCTGCACATATTTGTTCCAAAACGTCTAAAATATCCTCGTCTTCAACATCTTTACAATGATGTGAGTACAGTGGTGAAGATTCATTTAGATGACAAATGAAGTGACTACCTGTATCAGTATCATGAACTGGATGACAGTGAATTCTGATGTCTCTGTCATGTGATTGTTCACAAGTACATTTACAGCCTTCTCTGCTGTAGGCTTGGCAACCAGTTGCATACTTTCTGTTGAAAAAGATATCTTCACTAGAAGACTCATGACTTGGTGTTCTATATCTTCTTGATGTCACGTTTTTCAAGTGTCTACGTCTTTTAGGATGAGAAAATTCATCAGGTTTTACTTGCTCTTCGATAAAATCACTGTTAGTGTGCCTCATTACTCTTTTTCTTTTATGAGCAGGTGGTTTTCTGTCTGTTTCATGGTGGAATTCTTTTCCACCATCGCTGTTATCATCTTCATCATCATCATCATGAACAGTAGCATCATACTTTGAGCTTAATGTAACTTTATGTTTTTGTTCAGCACTAACCTTATTCACTGGTACTCTATGATAGACATCGTTATCGTCATCATCATTATTTATCTCTGATTTGGATAGAAGTTCACCTTTGGTTCGCATTCTATGATGAACTTCTTGTGGATTTATATGGACAGTTTGATCTTTTTCACTTATTACCTTATGGTTATCATCATTTTCATCAGATGTATTCCATAGTTTCTGTCTGTTTTTAGAAGGCTTTATACTCTTTTTAGGATTCGTATCTCTAGGCTGATTGTTTTCAATCTCCTCTTCAGTAGTGTAATATTGTAGAGGAGATGATAAAACGTTCTCATCTGTATACATTTTAGACTGATTGACTTTGGCTACATCATAGATAAACTTATCATCATTATCTACAGTGTGTCTAGTGATACTTTGGTCCTTCATAGGTTGAGTAAACTTTGATAATTGAACTGCTTTTCTGTCCTCTTTTGTATTTTGTACCTCGTCTTCTTCTTCTTCTTCCAAATGGTCTTTATTTTCTTGTAGTTCACTTGATTTCTTCTTATCTTTAACCCTGCTGTCTTTCTTATGTTCCTTTACTTGTTTTACACGTTTCCGTTTCCTTTTTTCATCATGTTTTAATTCATCTGAATGGTTGTCATCGATTTCATTCCGTTTGTTTGTTCTACCCACGTCTCTATCCTTAACTGTTTTCATCATTTCATTAATTTTTGTGTGTTTGGTCTCTTCAAAGGGTAATTTCATGTCTCGTTTATCCTTCATCTTTTCTGTAATATGTCGTTTTTTCATTTTCTTATCTTTATCAGTTAACTGGTCAAATTTTTCAAGGGTCCCTTTCTTCATCTTCATCTTTTCTCTTAGCTTATTTGTTACCTCATTCTTTATTGCCTGGGGTTCACCTAACACATATTTAATAACATCACGTTTTGGTCGTAAAGTTGTAGAATTATTCTGTATTCGTTGGTTGACAATATCGAGACAATATGGTAATACATTATTATTCCTCTGATGAATAAGTTGCTCTTCATTGAATTCAGATTTTCTTCGTATAGACATCATCTTGTTGTTCCCTTTTTGATAAGTTTTAACGCTATCCGCAATGGGGAACACTTTGATGAACTTTGACATGAAATTCTTTGAATTTCTATTACTTTTATCTCCATGATTAATATTTCTAAACTGATTTTGGCTTGATACTTTAGATCCAATCGATTGTTTACTGTCCCAATACACCAGTTCCATAGATTAAAAAACTGAGATCACCTTCTTGTAAAATTAGCGTTTAATCATGGAAAAAAAGTCTTTGAACAACATCATTGTACATTCAGCTCATCTCTTTTTCAATCTATTTATTTTGTTTGTCAATGATGGTCACAGTGAAGGGTAATTTGAAATCCAGATCATACAACCACGTGATCTCAAGTTTCAACTTCATATTGATTGTCAGCTGACAGTCCATGTTGTTTCTTTTTTCACATCGACACACGTGAGTATACAAAAATGATCTATAAAATGCTTTGTTATTCATCGTAGACTGACATCAATTGGAGGAATAAAGGAAACCTGGGAGTACTGGACAGCTGTTTCGTCCAACTAGTATGGGACTCTTCAGGGGTGCGCACCCACGACCTAGCCAAGGACCGAACCCGCGACTTTCAGGTTTCGTGGCCAGCACGTTACCATTGAGCTAGCCACTGGGTCACAATCCAATCGTCTATATTTCCAACTTCTGTTAGCTCAGGATATAGAGCAACCGTCACCCAATGTCATCGTTGAGTAACTGTCCTCACGACCACCAGGCGTTGCCCCACCGAATATCGAAATAAATCCATTTGAAAACTTGAAATAAATAGACCCTTTGATAGATTTCAGTAACGTAATAAGAAAATGGAGACTATCTGAAATATATGTAACGTATTAGCATTATACACATTTCGAATAATCCGACTGATCATACATGAACTTGTCGAATATTTTATATGGAAACTAGGAAAGTTTAATTAAACCAATAGAGTTATAATTTGGAAGAAAGATAACAACGAAAGAACAAACAAAAGAGAAGAGAAAATGAATAATAATCATAGGTCAAATCACCATCACCAATGGCATTGAATAGTCGAACTTAATACTACCAGGGTAAGTTTAGTGTAAGTACAAATTGTTTTTGAATACATAGAAGGAGTTCGAATTTATGGATAGTAAGTGCTTCGATAAATCTGAGTATTCATCCCTGACCAATGAAGGTTGTCTTCATATCAATCTGATAACCAGTTTCTGTCGATGAGGAAAGACGTTTATCACCTATACTTATTCAACTGTTAGAAGTCACTTGTTTCTGGAGTCATTTAGACACATGTTGGACTATTCTTAACTCAATGTCACTAGACCTCCTCCTAATGTATGTGTGTTTACAGACACATGTAAACTAATGGACACAATGGGACGTGAAACAGTCATCCAACATATGAACTAACAAATTCTAGACTAGTAAACGCTTACGAGTTAAAATTAAGTTTCAGGACAAAATATACAGACAAACAGAAAGAGTAGGTATCAGTAGGATCACCAATATCCCCATTCGTAGCAGATATATTTATAGGTAGTTGAGAAGATATTGGCTCTACAAACGTTTAGTCCTGCACCTAAGATATGGTGGCGATATATGGATGACACATTTACTGTGTTGAAATCTGGACATATCAACAATTTCATCACGCACATGAGCTCAGTAGTAGACGCTATCCAAATCACTTACGAGGAGGTAGAAAATGAACGATGAGAATTATCTATGTTGGATTGCAGGATAAAATGAAGGACAGACAGTCGTTTGCATACTGCCGTCTACAGGAAACCGACACATTCCAACAGTTATCTAGACTTCAAGTCACCCCATCCAATGTCAGTCAGTGAAGGCAGGTTTAGTCAAATATCCAAGCGACAGAGCTAGAAAACTGACTAGTCAGTGCAATGACCTAAAGAAGGAACTGAAGCACGTGAAAGAAGCGCTGATACTTAATGATTATCCTCTACAGTTTATTAAGAAATTCGTACAAACACACACAAAACGAAATGATAACAGAAACACGAGTAGAAAGGAGTTCACAACCTCCATTATCTTACCCTACAAGGAAGGTACATCAGAAACTCTATGTAGAATCTTCAACGAAGTTGGAATTAAGGTGTTATTCAAACCCACAAACTCACTCAAAGATAAGCCTTGTCTGTTGGCTTAAGGATTTCTTAGATCCAACTAAACGAAATAATTTAATCTATCAAATTCCCTGTAATGATTGCCAGGTCAGGTGCATAGATGAAACTAGCCAGTTGGAGTCAGTTAGAATAGTCGAACATAGGAATTTAGCTAAATATAGAATAAAAGACCCAAATAAGATCAATAATTTAGAAAGTAACTTCACTATTGCAATGCATAGATTAACATACAACGATACAATATGGTGGGATGAAACCAACCTACTTAAGTCCAACAACAGAATTAGGTGGAGTGAAGGAGAGATTGATTACTGAATCTTTGTTCATCGAATCAATAAGCAACACATGTAATAGGAATAGTGATACAACAGCTATACCAGAGATATGGAGAACTTTATTACCTATAAAAACAAAGCATATCAGGTGGGTAAGAGGATTGTAAAAATCAGATGTTGAATGTAGTATGATTACATTGAGATATCATTATGAGCCATAATTTTTGCTCGCAACGTCATCAAGTAAATAATACTGTATCACTGTTTTAAATCAAACAAGCAAATCTAATATGGAATGGTTAGTTTTCTTAAGGTGTAATACAAATCTCTATTCATCTGGTGAGATAACCAGTTTTCATTCTTTATTTGGTGGAAAACCACCTTCCCAGTCTAAATATCGAAAGCTGATTGGTTATTTTAGCAGTTGTTAGGGTCAGTTTCAAAGTCACTCACGTTTAGATGCATCACACAGTGAAGGAACAGTATTATTTACTAGATTACGTTTCAGACACAACTGATTGCTTATAGTCGTTGTAATGGCCAGCTGCTGATAGGTTTCCGTCTAGCCTGTAGGTAGGTAGGTAGGTAGGTAGGTAGGTAGGTAGGTAGGTAGGTAGGTGGATTATTGCATGGGGTGCGTGGAGAAGCATTGGTTTAGTGGTGACCATGATAATCTCCTAGTGCAGCAAGTACACAGGCTGTACTTACATTTACAATTAATAAAAGATAATCGACAGAAGGTAGAGCCTGACAACGAAGAGGTGAGACAGTCTAGAAATCGAAACTGGAAGGTAAATGAGTATGGTTCCGATTGCGTTACGTCATATCATGCCGAGATAACTCCACAATCTTTAGACATGGCTTATATGGCTCCAATTCTCTGTCCCTATTTGTAAACAGGTGGGAGAATTTTTCAGATATCTGGGACAAGTGCAAAGTCATTTTTATTACCGTATGTATTTGGTGTTGGTCTGATAAACAAAGATTCGTTTATCAATCTCTTCCTGCACCCAAGTAGGTTAGTTTCAACTTTTTTCACTCTGTCCCATCCTATTGTATAGTTGTGTGTAATTGGATGCCCTCGGATAGCCTAACTGACCATAGGGGACTACTTTGACCTCTTAATCGTTACAAGGGATTTGGTAAACTAAATTATTACGCCTAATTGTTTTAATAGGATCTTTGTTTGTCCAGTCAACACTTAATACATGCAAATAGAATGCCTAAGTACTTTTTCCGGATATATGGAAAATCCTACTACTACTACTCATATCACAAAGGAGACGAAGGAGAATTAAACCTGTATAAACCATATCTTAAAGTTGTGGATTTATCTCATATGACTATGGACAAAAGATTGTATCTGAAACGTAATCTACTAAATAAAACTGCTTCACGCTGTGTGATGTATTTGATAATCAGACTAAAATGGAATTAAAATCTACCAGAGAGGCCATTGTTTACCCATTTTGTAGTGGGCGTTGCTGATAAGAATGAATTTAAGTAGTATATGTTGAGAGAGTGGCAGAATTCATAGAGAATTACCAGCAATGGATAAGGATTCCGCCAAGAGAAACACAAGAGACAAAGCAGGCGTATGAAGAGCAAATCAAGAAAAAGACAGAAGAGGAAATGAAGCATATTTTGCAAACGATGGTTTTAGTGCATGGTGTATCATATTTAACGACTACTGTCCCACTAGTTGACAATAAACATTTCCTAAATACCTGACTTCTTGATTTTCTCAATATTACTGCGGCGTTTTTCTTAGTCCTTGTGTTACTTTAAAGTGGAACAATATTCTGCGTATTTTGAATTCATTCTGTGAGGAATGTTTATAAACTCGACATTTGAGTCACTCGACGTTGTTCTTGCCAAAGGTCATATGAATTAGATTTCACTAGTAGTATCTTAAACACGATTTACTTTAGATATCAGCTGGTTACAGGAAGCCCTCGACATCAGGAAAGTAACCTCAACGGGAATGATCTCCCGCCTAAGATTATGAACCCGCCTCATTCAATGTTATAGTCAGTGACAACATCATTGAGCTATTGTGGTTGAGGTCGACCTCCTATTAAACTGCGTTAGTTACAATGGTTATTGGAAAGCTACCAATTTCATGTTATCTAGCCGTAAATGGTGATCAAATTTTGTCGGTTAATTTTACACTGCGGCCATCAGGCTAGAAGGCTTACCATCAGGATGCACTCTGATGGATGTTACTATAGATCTCTGAAGGATCAAATTTTACCACAAAAGTTAATGTATATTACCAACGTTATAACCTTTCCAATCAGTAGTTTGTAGGAATTTGCTGAAATCAATTTAGTTTATCTCATAGATTGAGATCATTTGAAAAACCATGGGAAGTATGGGAGCACGACTGTTTCGTTTTACCTCGGAACTCATGGGCGATCAACCCCGAAACCGTTGGGTCCTACAACCATGTATAAATAGTCTCTTTGGGTCAACCAAATGATCTATGAGGCCAGATATCCGCTGATGGCATTGAAAAATCTTTACGTTGTATCACGAGTTGACAGAAGTCGAAATTAGTAGACCATTGAATTCGGAGGAAGTGGCTGAATAGTAGCGAATTCACCTTGAAACTTGGAAGACCTGAGCTCTATCTATTGCTTACTCTCTGATGCGCATTTCTGAAGAGTCGCGAAGTGGAAGGAGAATATTCACCAACAGACTTCTAGTAATGTGACCCACCATAGCAACAGGAAGTTGCACTTATCAAACCACAACTGATACCCCTAACAGATATCAGAGTTCGAATCCCAAAAGGAACTAAGAAGTTGATACATCTAGCTGACGAGAGCCAACTAGGATGACACGTACTTCCTGGATTCCGTTGCTAACCACCAAACAAACTACATTCTGCCTAAAAGTGGTTGTCTTCACA